GTTGACCCATATCAGAATTCGGAAATGGGTTGACCCGATTCGGAAGTGGGTCAAATTCAGAAACGGGTCAGAACATATCCAGGTTCACTGTGTATATGTAAAATCGGTATTGTTCACGTGAAATTCGAGCCAGTGGTTTTCGATCAACTATAGTTGGTTTCGATCGACCACACTAGCTATTTTGCTTGATGTCTGCAGATCAGTTAATTTTACACGTATTTAGACCAAATCTGGTTAAGTTGGCTGATAGTTGTATGTCGTACCACTTTAAGCTTAAACCCAGATGGTTAAGTCTTAAATACCGAATTCTGCATCCCTCATGAATGGAAAATTTTAGCTAACGTATTTAGTAACTCAAAAGCGTTTTTTTTATATGTCGATCGGTGATTGCTAACGTATTCAGTACCAAAGTATTATGTCGAGCCACGTTTATTACGCCATTTTAATACTCTCGTCTTTCGATTCTTCTCATCAATAGAAGAATCATCATCACTAACGTTTAAGCATATTCATATGTCGATCAGCTTTCAGTTTGCACAAGAGAAGACTTTTTATCCAGGAAATATGGATTATTTATTCTTTATGCTAAAATTTAGACATATATTTATAATAATAATAATAACAAAAACCCAGTTGTTTATACGCAAGTAGGGGAGATATCGTAATGTCAATAAAATACTTTTATAATGTTGTTACCTGATTGTCTTTACTATTCCAATCTGACAAGAAATAGTAATAAGGTTATTAACTAGGTTTCACAAATTAATGCCTGTGATACATTACATTTTATCAATGTCTTCAATGTCTCTTCTGACTCACTACGATCTTTGTGTTGGTTAGCGTGTACTGCCGAAAATGCTTCGCTCTCAGCGACAAAAACTGCTTTTCCTTGTCTTTCTTGCCCTTGTACTGCTTACGGTGCTTAGCTACCTCGCAGTTCCCTTTTTGTCTGACTATTTCGCATCTTGCGATCAACACACATGGTCTTGCAGCCTCCGTCAGCACTTTGTCCCCGTGTCCTCAATTTACGGCGAGGACGTTGAACCGATTTTGTTATGGACGCCCTGGTTCGGAGATTCCCGGTCCTGGTTGGAAGGTAAGAATCTCCACGGGCTCAATGAGAACCATACATGTGTGGTTACGCAGTATAGAGCTGCTAAGGCCAACATGGTGCTATTTCACAGACCCGATTTGGATGCGAATGACCTCCCAACCAAGCAAGACGGTCAGATGTGGGTACTGTATTCTGGTGAGCCTTTACACCGGTACAGTGGCAAGAATGCGAAAAAGCTGGAGGCCCTGTATCCGTACTTTAATTACAGGTAAGGCACGGAGAGTCGCGCACGTGATGTACTTAAGTTGGTTGGATGTCGCCTCGATTCTTTCTTGCATCTCTTGTCGGATTGTTGACTATTCCCCCACTTTTTAACGACGATGAAAATAGTCTCAACTACCGTCTCGACTCGAATTTTCCAATTATTTACTACGACACCAAGATCATGGAACAGTTATCAAAACCTCCCCCTTCATTTTCGCCTGATGTCGAGCCGGTAGCATGGATAGGAAGCAACTGTGATGCGTGGAACAAACGACACTTTTACATAAAGGAGCTTATGAAACATATTCCGGTTGCAAGTTATGGCTCGTGTCTGAACAACAAGCCTTTAGCACCGCGTAGGTGGCCAGTTTTCATTAGCAATAAAAAAAACTAAATCTAAAACGGAAATCTCGTGGGATGAGTTTGCTCAAGTCGTTTTGTATCATTTTCAGGAGACCAAAACGTCGAGTATATGTCTCGCCATCCTTTTTACCTAGCATTGGAAAATTCAAATTGCGACTACTATGTTACTGAAAAACTCCAGGTGAATAATCATTCTCGTGATGTTTATTAGAAATTGTTCGTTCTTGTTAAACCGATTATTTTGTGATCCTCATCCACTTGGCTTGTGAGACAGGGTTCTTTCGCGGCCGGAGTTGTTCCTATCGTAACGGGACCTAAAAATTACTCGGCATTTATTCCTACGCCTCATTCCGTCATCTTCCTCGATGATTTCAGAGACCCAAAAGATCTTGCTAAGCACTTGCGTTTTCTTCTCGAACGGCCTGAAGAATATCAAAAATATATCGACTTTCGATTCAATCCACAGTTGATATCAGAAGAGTTCCGAAAGAATTGGGATGGTCCTAACGGATGGAACCGCATTATCGGGCTCCGTCGGCTGTGTGATACGGCATGGATGTACAGAACTGGGAAGAAATTGACTTCCGACAATCCAGAAGAAGATTGGATGAAGCCCAGGGTTATAGAAGCAGATTCTTCATGCATTGACGACAAGTACGCGTATGTTAAGGAACTGTCGGACTAACGGTGCCGCCGAGCGAAAGGCGTTGTTCCTCTTTTAGATCTCGGGTTTTATCTACGCGAGAACGTTGTCTGATTATTTGTTAAAATTTCAGCTCATAATTTCCAGTTTATACGTTGTTTGGAGTTTTGAGCGCTACAAAAAGTTGTAGTGTGTGGGAAAGTTATGTTTTTAAACTAGCGTCATGTAGTGTATTTATGCAACATTTAGAAATTTCCGTTTTATTTATTTTAAACTAGATGAAAATTTAGGTGGGGCTTCGCCCCCCTCTTATTTATTGCGAATGTAATTTTAGCCGTAGACCGGTTATTGGAGAATATATCATGTGATATCAATTATTATTAATATTAAATGTGATTAATATATATTTAATTAAATCAATAACTACAAAGCATACGATATTAAAACCGGCAAAAAGTATTGACTCAGCTTGCCGATCAATTAGTAAAACATGAAAAATCTTTTCTTTCAAAAATCTCTATTGTACGTATTTGCTATGTAAATCGCAATGATTATTCGGTTTACAACTTAAGTCAAAATGGTTCTACACGCTTCCACCTGCTAACATCTGATTATGTCGTCTCGCTTTGAGGTGCGAAAAAACTGTCAAGATGTAATTGTCGCTTACTTTATATTTCAAGTACTTTAATCATTCTCTAAGATCGACATATTCTTGTCGAATAAATCTTAAAATATTATCAATGCTTCCATTTGCTAATGCAAGAGAAACTGTGCTTTCTTCTTCACACGGTTCTGGTGTTTCAATGCCTGTGACAAATTTTCTATAACGTCTTCATCAATTGGTATTCTCTCAGTTTCTCCAAGTAATAGGTAAATGATTATCTATCTCGGCAATCTTCAGTTCTTTTTGGCTTACGGTTTATTATGAAAAAATAAATTCAAAGAGAAAGTTAAGTTTTATAAGCTGATGAAATTCTTCGGATTAACGAGTAATTTTTATATGACAAGTTTTTCACAACTGCCTTCGGATTGCGGATTACAGAGATTTATTATAAAAATTCGGATAAACGAGGTAAATTTCTTATTAATAAATCGGGACCAGAATATTTCTTCGGATTAACGAGGTTGACTATGTATCACCATTATTTTTTTTTTTTTCGAAAAATACAACCGATTAGTTTCAAAACGGTACAAAAATCATTGCGATTTACATAGTAAATACGCACTTTTTGCCGGTAAGTGTACCTTCAGCAGTTTCCCTATCAGAATAGGTAATTGTAAGAGAAGGTTTTCTAAACGGTTATGATCATTTTGAGCTTCCATTTCCAATTGCTTCTTCGATTCAATCATATATGGCAGGATGCCAGTCTTCTTCCAGCAGTTTACTACAATAGTACTTGTTTTAACACAATCCCATGAGTCCGCAACCATATACAGTGTGTTACAAAAAAAAGCGGAATTATATTTTAATCTATTGTGTGAAAAAAAAGCCGAATTGTCCAGAATTTACAATTATATTTTGTATAATATAGAGAACAAATTGCTTAAGGACAGTTAATAGATTATCTTATTAAAATTTTTCTTAATTTATAAATTAATCTTGGGAAAAAAATATCGAAAAAGTAATTATAAGTAAAAAAACAACAAACCCATTTTTTATAAAAAATTTTATTAAGGTATTTAATTAAGTAACTTTAAGTAAACTTGTTTGTAACAACATGAAGAACACATTTGAAAAATTTTTATGTAAAATTAATAGGATTTTTTTTTGTTTTATACAAGTAATAACAAAATTTTTTGAGTTTTGAATTTTTGAAATTAGACATTTTAATAAAACAACTCATTAAATTGCCGTAAGTAAATTTGTTTCTTGTATGAAAATACATATATTTGTAAACTTTTATCTAATTCCGTCATACTTTTAATATTATAAAAAAAAATTCCGCTTTTTTTTGTAACACACTGTATATCGCATCTTTGATGTACAGTACTAAAGCACCTCCAAAGAACATTCTTCTTCGTTGGCCACAACACCAACAATCTCCACATCTGCTATTATTCCTGCCTCTTTGGTTTTGGTTACCCTGTCTTCTCCTAACAATCTTCCGGGCTCTAGGACAAGGAGGGGAGGGACGGACGGTGATAATAGCAGGACCGTTTTTCCCACCGCCAGATAAGACCACTGTAATAATAAGTCAGATATGTTATTGTTGTAATTTATTAATGACCAAATTTATGAGTAATATACATACATATAAATAATTACCGAGCAACCATTATTTTTTGCCAATAGAACTTGGAAAAAGACAGATGAAAAGCTTGCCGAAATCACAGATGAAATCTTGGAAACGCCGCAAAATATTTTGCAATTTATAGAATAACCGATAAATAAATTTATAGAAACAGATTTCATTAGGAATGATGCTTGAAATAATTCGGCATTTGGGCCTGGTCATATGAAGCATGAAATGAGGGAACTTATGTAACTAATTTTACGCCTTTTTCTAGATCTGAGCGACAAAGTGTTGCGAGCGCTGATAGAAGGGGCGAAGGGCGATCAGGGAGACGACCTGACATTATATTTATGTATATAGAATGTTCACGTTTATTTTGTTCAGAACGAAAGATAAAAGACGATGCAGCAAAACTATGGCGCAAAGTTGCTGAATCTATGTTACGATTAACCATTCTTATTGCAACATTGATGGTTATTACATTTACATGAATCAAAAATTCCTGTGCAACAATTGTTGCCAGTTATTGTAGCAAAATTTATAGACTTTATTAATCTTGCGGAATATTTTGATAGTTAATATGGTAAAAGGGGGTATTAAAGTTTTTGCTTAGACAACTTTTTTATAAACCAAATAAAATTTCATTATATTTTTGACACATAATAATAATCTACGCCATAGGACTTAAGTTTATCATAAAATTGTTTATGACACCATTTTCGGGATGCAAGTTTAATTGTATTATACAATCATTAATGTTATGCTGTCATATCATGGTTATGTCTTCTTTTTCTTGTATTTTTGTGCACGTTCTTTCCTTTTTTGGGCCACAACTTCTTTTCCTCGTCTGTGAAGGCAGCCATTGTAACAATAATATACATAGACAAACTCGATTAAATATAGTCATTTTAAGATAAAATATATCTAATTTCCTATCTGGTAGTAAAAAACTACGAGAAAGACTTTAATGGGACTGCAAAAGAAAAAACTCTGTGAAATGTTCAATACGCGCTTAAGTAATTGAAACACGCAAACAGTCCAATATATCAATATTTCACCAAT